GTGTGTCTCCACGTGCTTGTAGGTAGAGACAGTGGAAAAAAGAAAAAAAAAAGAAGAAAGAAAAAGAAAAGACAGGGAAGTAAGAGGATGTGACAGAAAAGGACCATAAATAGAAAGGGTTGCTCAAGAAATTGAGTGAAAAAGATCAAAGAAGGAGCATAAGACAAAAGGACAAGAGAAACACTTTTCCTTAAAAGCAGAAACAGACAGCTGACTACACATTTGATTTCTGGACTTTCTTCCTTAATACTTATGTTTTTAAAAGAATTCATTGTCTGTGCGTCCCGTGTCTCTAGCTTACATTTTACGAAGGTTGTTTCGTAATTTTTACTCTTTGAGCTGTAAAAATGAAACTTCCAGCAACTATAGAACAGCCTGGCCATGTATTTTAGGGAAACATTTATTGCCTTTCCCTAAAAAACAACCTATCCAAGCTATAGATGTAGTGTGAGATAAACATGCATTACTTGGGAACGATCTTTTAGAAGTTTTATGAGGCTGGAAATCCTTGTCACCTGTGCAGGAATTCCTTCTGAAGGCTTCCCCCTTTCAGGGATTTGTGGACTGGGCATGAAACATAATATGTGCCTTTACTGCCTAGAGACTGGAGAAGCCAATTGGCCACATGTAGTTTCCAAATTACAGAAAAAGAAAAATGTGCTCTAGCAAGCTAGCAGTTCTGTGGAATAAGTAATGACATCCTCTGGGCATGTGCCTAATTCAATGGGGCAAAAGAATAAGGCACCATGAGAACATCTAACTTGCGGTTTATTGCAGGGAGAGGGAAGCCTGAACTCAGCCACATCCTTGCAGAGAGAACCCATCTTTAGCCATTGTGGAAATTTCATGTAAACCTCAGTTACCTACTGATGTTTGTTCCTGCCACTATTCAGTTGCTAGTAACTCTGCTTCTATTAATAACACCATAATATTCACCAACTAACTTCTTAATTTCAAAACAAAATTGTGAGGAGGGCAAACATATTTAACCTGAAAATGTGGCCATCTCTGGCATCTATCGCCACAATAAGGATTTCTTTCAAATGAGTCCCACAGTGTATGGATGGGTAAAATTGCAGATTGGTCTGTTCTACTTAAAAATCTCAGGATGTTTGTTTCTTTTTGCTTGTTTGTTTTCCAGCTGATGCTGCATTATTCATTAGCAGTAATCACAAATTAATGAACTTGATTTCCATTCCTCTAAAGACATTTTGTTTGGCCACAAATTAATTTAAATACTTTATTTGTATTTACTTACTTGAGAGAGAGACAGAGCCTAAGCAAGAGGGGCAGAGAGAGAAGGAGGGAGGAAATCTCAAGTAGACTCCATGCTGAGCACAGAACCCAACGTAGGGTTCAGTCTCCTGATATGATCCAAAAGATTATGACCTGTGCCAAAATCAAGAGTCAGACGTTTAACCAACTGAGCCACCAAGGTGCCTTTGGCCACAAATTAATTTAAATCACTTTTGAGATGATAACTAAAAATCATGAAATTTCACACTCACATTTAGATTTCCCCTCTATCTTAAGAAATGGAAATATGGCGACTCAGGTCCTGATTTCCAAATAAACCTGTCTAGCGTACCCAGTGTTTTTGTTGCTGTTGTTGTTGTTAATTTTGTTTTTGTTTTTTCAGCTGGTATAATCCTCACATCTAAATGTCCCACATTTTTAGAGTTTGCCCGTCTTTGCTGAGTTTTCCTGTGGTCTCACCTGCAGTGAGCATATTATTTGCATCTCTGAGCACAGTGTTCAAACAGCTGCTTTAAAAATCCCTCTTTGCTTGCCCTAACATTGGTCTTCCCTGATTTTCTCTCCTGAAATGGAATCCCATTTCCTGGTTCATCATGGGTCCAGTTGTTTTAAACTCCCTCCTGGACCTTGTGAAGGTTATGTTGTGGAGACACTCGTACTTCTATTATATTCCTCAGAGAAGATTTGTCCATGTGTTTGTTTTTAATGTACCAGACAACATCGTTGAGCTTACATTAAAAACCCTTGGGTGCAGCTTGAATCTCAGTTCCGTATACTTTCTTAGTGAACCTTTTCTAGTGTGCTTCATATAAGTGTGCTCTAGAGGTCATTTACAGACTTGGACACAGCTTACACATCACATTCATTCTCTCCCTTCCTGGCTTTGTCCTTTCTCCAGCCCTCTCTCAGCCTCCATCAGCATGGGTTGTCCCATAGTCTATCCCCTGACTCTTCAAACCAGATCTGTTTTCTATCAGAATTTTGACAGCCCCTCAAGGAGCTAACTAATGCCAAACAGTCAACTTAGCCACGTCGTCTCTTTTTTCAAGTGTGTGATATCTGCTTGGGTTATCTCTCTCAGGGTGTCTGGTAGTTTTTTTGTTTGTTTGTTTTGCATTTTTTCCAGAGTTTATAGGTGTTATTCATGGAAAGACCAAGTCAAGTAGGAGATCATCAACCATATAGAAGCAGAACAATTAATTCCCAATCGGTTCCTTTCTTCAGTATATCTTTAGAAGACTAATATGCACGCTTCTTTTTCCTTCTGAGCCATTCTGGCTCTCTTGAGTATTAGGCAGCAGCAATGATGATATAACCATTTCAAAGTTTTAACAACAACAGAAGTACAGCATTCATTTCATCGATGGCTGTGGATCTTCAGTGATGAGCTATCAGCTCGTTAGCCTCTGGCACTAGTCTAAAACCAGAAACACTGACATTTCAAATCTGTATCAGGCTGTTTGCTCCTTAAGAAAGGAGAATTGGAGAAACTGTTGAAATGTTGTATATTCATCTCTGTATTTTAAAAAAGAGGATAACTTTCTAATAAGAACATATATGAGTATCTCCTCATGTCTGTGTGTTCCAAAATATCAGAGAACTAAAAATATAGTATCACTTGAAATTATTATGTTGAAGACTTGGCAAACGTAGCAGATATCATTGCCATTACTATATGCCATCACTGATCCTTGAGACAAGTTTTGGGGTTAACATGATGTGTTAGTTACCTATTTTTTAATTTTTTTTTAAGTTTTATTTATTTATTTGACAGAGAAAGATCATAAGCAGGCAGGGAGGCAGGCGGGGGTGGGGGGAAGCAGGCTCCCTGCTGAGCAGGGAGCCCGATGCGGGGCTCAATCCCAGGACCCTGAGATCATGACCTGAGCCGAAGGCATAGACTTTACCCACTGAGCCACCCAGAAGCCCCGTTAGTTACCAATTATTACCACATAACAAGCCATCACAACTTTAGTGTCTTAAAACAAAACACACTGATTTTCGCAGTTTCTGAGACTTCAGAGCCTAGACTAAGCTTGGCTCTCACAAGGTGGCAATATGGGTATCGAGCAGGTTAGTTCTCCTACAGAGAACTCAACTAAGGAAGAATTTCCTTCCAGTTAAACTCAGACTGCTGTCAGCATTCATTTCTTTATGATTTTAAGACAGAAGGTGTTGGCTTCTCGCTGACTGTTGGCCAGAAGCTGCTCCCAGCTCTGACAGGCCACACTGAGTTCCTTGGCTGTATATCCCCTGAGTTCTGCAAGGAGGGTGCCCAGATCCAGTCTGTTTGCAAGATGGAGTTATCCATGACACAGTGCACCCACAAGACAGTTCATCACCTATGCTATATCCTGTTGGTTAGAAGCAAGTCACAGCCCCTGCCACACTCAAGGGGAGGTTTTACATGAAGCCATGAGATGCCTGTCAGGATGTGGGGATGGACAGGGGCTCCCTCAGGAATCTGTTACACACACTCTTACCTTCAACATTATTGTCATCATTTGTGAATGTTATATAAACAGATACTTTGAATAGTATTTTTTAACAAACTTACACTAAAGAGAGGGGATGAAGTTTCTATTCTAGTCTTAATACAGGGTAAATTAAACATGATCACTTGAACTATTAGCATCTTTGTTACCCTACTTGTATTTCCTTTATGATGTGGAAGAACATTTATATTACATGTGGAATAGAGAAAAATCAGGCATTTGTACTAACCAAAATCATAAAATTTTAATTACCAATGTTGCAAACTCATCACTAAAACAAAGCACACTTTTATTTAACCCATGAGCAAAATCAGAATAGTTAAAATTGAGCTTTCTTCTTTTTTCTTGTTTTTTCCTTCTCTTTACTTTTGCCATCATTTTCATTGAATTTTGTCTAAAATAAGGAACGAGTTTAGGGATGAATAGCAGCTGAGCTGATTGACTACATTTAAAGCAAAATCATTTATGCTGGTTTCTAAAATGTTCCAGATCTTTCCCTCTTTGGAGCTATGCCAGGAGTGCACTTTTTTTTTGGGGGGGGGGGTTGGAAGAATGACCTGCTCTGGATAATGACCTATGAGCTCACAGAACCAAGTACAAATCACCATCGCCCTCCTCCTTCCCTTGCCCTCCTCTCCTCCTCCCCTGACACCAATGTTGAAAAAAGGATATTATATAGAAACCACAAATTGTGATGTTTGAACCTTTGATGATAAAATAAATGGTGGTAACAGGGAAATTTTCCAGATACCTGAACTTTGATTTAGAAGTACCCCAGGGCTATTCAAGAGTAACCCTAAAAATATAAGAAAAACTGTCTTGAGGAAAAAGTTTTGTGGTTATTATCAAAATTACTGGTGAAAAACCCATTGATCAGCATGCAGAGTTTTTAAAAATGACGGGAGTATCAGGGCACCTGGATGAGTCAGTCAGTTAAGCAGCTGACTCTTGGTTTCAGTTCAGGTTATGATCTCTACGTCCTGGGATAGAGCTGTAGTTGCTTCTGTGCTCCAGGGGAGTTGGCTGGAGCGTCTCTGCCTCTGCCCCTCCCCCATTCTTTCTCTCTCACTCAGAAAAATAAATTCACCTTTAAAAAATGATGAGAGTAGTAAATATGAAGCTAATAGGCAATATTTTCAGATGATAAACACGCTTTCTGTAAATTTCAAAGGACTAAGTTGCAACATTGCATTCTCTAATTCATCTTATATTCAAAGGAGTTGATTCTTTTTTTTCCCCAATTTGCAGACATCCAATGACACCTTCGAAATTCCCCTCATGTTGTCTGGAAACGTGGTGTTAAGGAAGAGACTCAACTATGAAGATAAGACCCGGTATTTTGTCATCATCCAAGCTAATGTGAGTATTCAGTCTCCCTAGCTTCCCTCTGGGGAACTTACGAAGCAAAGAACTCACCCCAGAATGTACAAGTGCTCTCAGAGTGCTTGGTGTAAATTATGGCCTCAACAGGGTAGGCTGCCCACAGCATAATGTGTATGTTATATTCTTCAAGATAGGGAATGGGATGGAAGGGGGCAGGAGGATGGTTTCTACTCACTGTTTCCTTCCCTCTGAATCACTCACACCCACTCTTCAATACTTTGCCTTCAGCTCACACCGAAGTATTTTCTCAAAGCGTGATGCATGGAGTGTCAGCAGCAGAATCACCTTGGGAGGTTTTTAAACGGGCAGATTCCTGGACCCAACCTCAGACCCTCTGAATAAAATTTTTAAAGGGTAGAAGTGGAATGTCTGCATGTTTATTAACTCCCCAGGGGATTCCAGAGTGCACCAAAGGAAGAGAAAAACGGATCAGCAATCTTTTCCCCCGTGGCTTCCATTTCTTGAATAGTTGGGCACTATTGGTGTCAGCTTCTAGGACCATAACCAGGAATGTATGCCCTGCAGGAATGGAACATCAGAAAAATAGTTGCTTACATAACATGGACTTTTATTATGGTTTTAACAAAATCCCTAGATTCATGTAGATCAAGTGCTGGTTTGACAGCTGACATACATCACAAAGGACTCGGGTTACTTCTCCTCTTACGTTGTACCCTTTCTGAAGTCTGGTTATTTTTCCAATGCGATATTTGTCAGGTGCTAGTGAATATCACAGCCATAAGCATCATAACTGCATTTCAAGTCTGAGGGTAAGCAGGGGGAAAAGGGGCAAATCTAGGACTCTTCTTCCTTGTCCATGAGGAAACTTGTCCCAAGTCCTCTTCCCTTCTAGCCTGGGATGCCAGGAGGCAGAATAGAGAGATTGAAGGAGACTGTATGTAGTAAAGGGGAGCGAGGTAATCACTTCTGGATTACACCAAGTCCTGGGCATCTCCTGGAGCTGGACAGGGCTGATAACCCAGGGGGACTGGGCTGGGAGAAGAAGGAGGAGGAGGAGGTGAAGGAGAAAGAAATTGAGGAAGGGGAGGAGCAGGAGAAGGGGAATAAGAGTTTGTTAACAAGAAGAACAGAATGAGGCTAGTTTTTCAGCAAACAACTGATACTGGCAGGCTACAGACGGCTTTTGATATTGACAGAAGTCCATAGCAAGTGACAGGATCACGTTCTGAAAAGGTTATTAGACTCCGAAGCCAGCCTGTGCCTTTAAGGATGCCTAGGCATTGTCATCCTACTCACATAGCAGAACAGAAAGACAGCAGAGAGGGCCAAAAGGAAACATCCTCCATCAGCTCTTCTGAACAAGTTTACATGCAACAAGGCATCACTCAGTGGATGGCCATTTTTGCCCTAAAGATATTTTGCCAGTAAGGGGGGGTGGATTTTGTATGTGTATATTCATATTTAAATATATAATTTATATCTATGTATTTATATTAATATTGTTTTATATATTCATAAAACATAAATACATTTACACATATAAAATATATTTATTTTCTATAACAATATCTATAATTCATCTGTTATATAGAGTAGGTAGGTAGTAGATATAGATACATAGATAGAATTTTTGAAGCCAAATTTCTGGATTTACATTCAAAATTCTCCAGGTGGTTGTTTTTCGATTCATTGTCTTGGCGTCCAGGGGTAGAGGCTGAAGCAGAAATGGCAGATATAAGAAAAAGTAAACTCAACTGGCCTTTCAGTAGAATCAGTAGGTATGAGTTTCTCAAAACCCTGAAATATTTCTTTTTAAATATTATTTCCATGCAAGTGAAAATGAGAAGAAAAAATATAGTTCCCCTTGCCTGACTCAGAATCTCTAATAAAATTTAAGAAAAACTAAGATTGCTCTAGAATGTATTTGAAAATTTGTTTTTATTGTGCTATTTAAAATGAGGTATTTTTTTTTTTTAAGAAACACAAGCTAAACATCTGAGTTGCTATTTAATTTAAAATATTTATGAAGACATCTGGAATAATTTGCATGAAATTTGCTAGACTGCCCATAAGTGCAGGAGGGAGTGTTAATTTTTTAGCATTTCAGGGATAAAATTATGAGATAGCTGGTTATGCGTGACTCATCAAAAGGAAAGAATGGAATTGGAAAGAAATTAAAGAAAAGGTTAATTTATCTGTAACAATTTTTACCACAAACATAAATCATAGAGTATAGAATATGAATGTTAAATATAAGAGATTAGAAGCTTTTTGGTGTTTTTAAAAACTTTCAGAGCTATACCCTTTTAATGGTTTTAGGCTATACCAAAATTAGGATGCATTATAATTTATCCAACTATACTACCTGTTTTTTGTTTGTTTGTTTTGTGTTTTGGCTTGGGAAGATACCCACTCTCATGACTCTTGTGAGAGGCAGTGAGTACAATATTGTGGCAAAAGCATGAATTCTAGAACCACGTTGCCTGGATTTAAATTCCAGTGCTGCCATTGACTAGCTTTGTAACTTCGGCATGTGCTACTTATGTACGGCACTTTAGTGTTTGAAAATGGATAAATGAGGGGCACCTGGGTGGCTCAGTGTTAAGCATCTAACTCTTGATTTTGGCTCAGGTCATGATCTCAGGGTTGTGAGAATGAGCCCCGTGTCAGAGGCTGTGCTTAGCAGGGAGTCTGCTTGAGATTCTTTCTCTCTCCTTCTGCCCCTTGCCCTATATATATATATATATATATATATATATATATATATATATACACACACACACACACACACACACACACACACACACACACACACACACTCTCTCTCTCTCTCTCAAATAAATAAATAAATATTTAAAAATTGATAATTTAATAATGGAATTTTTATGAGAAAATACGCATATGTATGCATGTATAGGTAGGGCTTTTAATCTTACTAAATAATGCCATATTATTTTCCGAAGTATTACAACACATCACTCCCTCACAAATGGGAAAGAATTCCTCATTGTCTCTACATCTTAGACACATAATTTACTTAAAACTGGGGATTGGAACTGAAAAGCTGAATCATCCTCGCTTGAGAACCAGTTGTGGGTCTTCCTCCCAGCTCTGAGTTCAGGGACCTTACCTTTGTGTCCTTGTATTAGAGCCTAGAGGATGGAAAGTGACAAGTGCTACAAATCAGAGCTTCTTCTCTCAGAGAGATGGTTGCTAAACTTGGACTGCTTCATATATGGCAACATCTATGTCAGGGAACAAGAATCCCTGTCCTCTCAGAGGTCCTTCTAGCTGGACTAAGGACCAAATTGACATGAGACAGATTCACAGGAGAAAATAAAATGTAATAGGTGTACCCTATGGGGAATCCACGTAGACATGGGAATTCCAAAGACTCTGTGTTATCCTGAACTAGAGAGAAGGCTGTGGAGGTCTGGGACTTCAGAGGAAAGGGGTGTACTTCATATGGTAATAAGTAAAGCATATGTCTGATAATGAGATGTTTGCCCTACCATACAGATGGGTCACTCAGATAAAATTTATCTCCATTAATAACCTTTATTTTGGGAAAGACCCCAATTTAAATTCTTCTGTGTGGTTAAAGACAAAATTTATCTTGAGCCTGTAGTCTCAGGTGCCTTCAGCTCAAAATATGCCAAAGTTGTACGTTTGGTGGGGGGGTTGTCCTGAACCCCTTCATCTGTATAATTTATACTTCTATATTTACATAGAATCATAAAATCCATAGATCATTACATGTTTTTAATTACATTTTTATGTTCTTTGGGGTTTTTTGTTGTTATTTTGTCAGTGGTGTGTAAATCGATGTGCAGTGTAGATCATGTACATTTAAAACCTACATTATTCTCTTGGAGTCATAAAGTAAGTTGAATTATGACCGATCAATTTTTATTTTAAAGTAGATGATATCTAAGAAGGTACAGGTTTGATGATAAATTACTGAAATTACTCAATTTGGATCTGGTTTTGCTTATGGTACAAAGATTTGATTGACGTGCAAAGGAAACTATTCAAATTTCACATAATTAGGAAGTTTCTTTTTATCCATGTGGACATGTTGTTTCTCTTAAATAAGCTGGGGGAGTTTTGGTTAGCATAAATAAGAAAACTTGTCACTTCTTTTATTGAGAATATTTGCAGTATTATTACCCACAGTTCATTTTAAATATGAATATGAGATGAGGAATGATTAATTCTAGAAAATGAAAGGAAAAGAAATCTAAAAAAGAGAGTTCAGAGATGTACCAAGATCAGTGGGTTTTCTTTCTGTTGAAATTTCCAATATAGCCTATACCACAGACTCCCAAATCACGAAGGAATCAAACTCATCTCTTTATACACAGATATTATTCAAAACTAGGTCTCTTTTGTATTAACATTATCCTGAGGGAAATACTAAAGATTCTTCTGTACTCAAGAGCTCTTGATTCATTGTCAGAAAGAAAAAGTTTACATTTATTTTAGAATCATGGCCAGAGTAAGTTCTAAGTTAACCTTATCAATAACAGGGCAAATTTAATATTTCTCAAATATCTAATATCTAGAATAGGAACACTAACTGTCTTTCATAATAAGATATTGTAATTCTTAAAAATATTTTTTTCTTATCTCTGTCTTTTCTCTTAATACTATGAATATTCAAAACAGTATGTAAACATTATAATTATAAGGGCTTTGATGTAAAAAAATTAATCACTTTGTACACTTTTGATATAACTTGTGTAAACAACTTTTTTTTTTAAAGATTTTATTTATTTATTTGACAGACAGAGAGATCACAAGTAGGCAGAGAAGCAGGCAGAGAGAAAGGAGGAAGCAGGCTCCCTGCTGAGGAGAGAGCCTGATGCTGGGCTCGATCCCGGGATTCTGGGATCGTGACTTGAGCCGAAGGCAGAGGCTTTAACCCACTGAGCCACCCAGGTGCCCCGTAAACAACTTTTGATATCAACTTGTATAAACAACTTTTCAAAACCAGCTCCCACTCTGACCTTCCC